CACACAGTGCGAAAGCACGCCTGAGCCGAGCTTTACTGACGAGCGCTGCTCGACTCTAAGTGCATGTGATCTGTGGAATGTTTTGACCCACCGTTGCACGCTTTCTCGGCCCACTTCAAGCGCGCATTTCCACACGGAGCATGGTGAGAATGGCGCCCTGTGCGACGTGCCGGCACATTGCCATACGATCCACAGATTCCAAGTGACCGCTAGATAGCGATGGATGGAGATCATCTGGACGGCTGATGCCAACTGACAGAATCAATCAATACCACCGCACTGCGCTTATTCGTCCGGTCTGAGATGTGAGACACAATGCTCTGACTTCACTGCGCTGCATTACAGCGCATCCGTTGTTGCTGAGTTAAATGCTTGCGGGAGATTTGCAGGCATACGGAGACGCACAAGACGTGTGCTAATGGCAAGTCTTGAACGACGACGCCACAGTCTTTAAGGCACCGTTAGCTGACAGCAAGATAGATCCAGCGGCCGCCGAAAATAACCTTGTACCCATTCGTCTCTGTCGCCGAGCACATTAATACCGTCGTTGGCCGGTGTATGCAGGCCACGACTGATGACGACGTCACGATTAAATAAATATCCTGCACATGACAAGTTCTCAGGCAGCCAGGCTAAGGCGATCATAGCCAGATTATAGACTGTCACCTTCATAAGGTGACTTACGTCATACGTTTGCCTCAGCCGGTCACGGCTGTCCGGAGTGAGGGAGATATCACATCCACCGTCTCCGTTCAGTTTCCAGTAAACACCCTCCTAACGATCCGGAAAGCCACTCGGCTTATCAGCTAAACGCTTCTGTGGCGCCAGTCGGCCAACGTCACCGCCGCCGCTTCTGCCGACAAATCCGCCGACCCGAGGCGCCGCCGGCGGGACGAAACACAAACGGTCACCCGTCGCCGGAGGCGCCGCCGGCGGGATGAAACACAAACGGTCACCCGTCGCCCGAGGCGCCGCCGGCGGGACGAGACACAAACGGTCACCCGTCGCCCGAGGCGCCGCCGGCGGGATGAAACACAAACGGTCACCCGTCGCTCGAGGCGCCGCCGGCGGGATGAAACACAAACGGTCACCCGTCGCCCGAGGCGCCGCCGGCGGGATGAAACACAAACGGTCATCCGTCGCCCGAGGCGCCGCCGGCGGGACGAAACACAAACGGTCACCCGTCGCCCGAGGCTGATGAGGCAACGCGCACCAAATATGGTGCGGTCGGCGACCGGACGATCTCTTCGCCAGCTGGCTCCTGCTGTCGGCCTGCAAACTCGGGGGAAGTGGCCGACTGCCGCGGCTGCACGCCCTCAGAAGGGTGCTGCAGCTATCGGTGTTGGGCGTTCGTCCCGCTCACGACAGAGCATGGGACAGACCACCGAGCCTGGCATCCACCGTGCGACTCGTCCGTGCAGTTTGTTTGCTGCCCTTTGGAAGATCACGAGAAAGATCGTGGCTCGGAGTTGCAGGACACCTGGCGTGCGTAATCTAGCAGGGCTATGACCGCTGAGGATGCCGGCATTCTATGTTTCGAGTGAGTTTTTAGGTGATGAAGTCGTATTCGTGGTGCTGCTGCGTGACCTTGGGTTGAAAAGAGACGCAAAGCGGGTGCAGATGGGATCAAGACGAACCCTTGACCTCCGATTTCGTTTAAGGCAGGCAACTTATCGCTGATGTCAAAGGGAACATATCGCCAGAGAGACAGTAATCCCCTGTTCACGACTATCGCTGCGCATTATCTGGCACACTCCTTTGACACGAATGCGTCGTGCTACGTCTGATTTGCCCCACCGGGCAGGACCCGTGGCAGCCGCCGTCCCGTTCGTCTTCCAAAGCTGTGTCTGCGGTTGTTCTAGTCCAGGCATAAAGCAAAAATTTTCTTCGGGGTACGCCAAAGCGTCTCTGAAATCCTGCGAATTTGGACCAATGTTCTACGAAATCACCCATTATCTAGTGTGGGCCTTTTGGCTCGGTATGGTCTCCGTGGCCCTGCGCTTGGCTACGTCCCTGTGCTGGTCTTGGGACGGAGGTCGTCCTAACTAAAAAACAATGTGATTAGATGAGATGCAGCCAGAAAACTCGCTGCTGTCCCCTACGATCACCTGAACTTTCCGTCTCCCTCTCCCGCCTTCTTTACCCCTCTCTCCCGAGTACCTCCTTCCTCTCTTTACCTGTTTTTTTTCTCTCTCTCTCACTTTCCGCCTTTTCCTTCCCGCTTCGTTTCGTCTCAGAAGTTAATCTATTTCAGTCCCAGATAACAAAATCTACCGCCAACTCTTGGTAGACCTATAGCTGTCATCAACGATGAGAAATCCCACATATGAAAACCTACAACAGGCACTTACCAACAGCGACGGACGGCCGCGCGCTCCGAGTCCGCAGCCCCCGGGGGGTGGCTTCAGGCCCGGCCAGAGCGCCGGCCGCAGCCAGTGAGGAGCTTCAGGCCCGGCCAGAGCGCCGGCCGCAGCCAATGAGAGGCTTCAGGCCCGGCCAGAGCGCCGGCCGCAGCCAGTGAGGGGCTTCAGGCCCGGCCGGAGCGCCGGCCGCAGCCACCAGGCCGCTCGGCGCCGCGTCCTATCACGGAAGCGGCCACCGAAGGCGACCAACTTCCGGCCGGCGCCGGGCGCGCTGCCGGCTGCTCACCGGTGCGCCGACGCCGGCCGTCACGGCGGCTAGTCACGTGACGCGGGCTCGCGCCGGCCGACTCGGCCGGTGACACGGCTCATTGCCAGCTGCCGGCCGGCCCGTTAGCTAAGCGGCCGGCGGGCGGTGTCGGAGCGGCGCCGCCGTCGCGCCTGGCCGGACGGCGCGCCTGATCGGATCAGGCCCGCCCCGGGACGCTGCGCGGTCCTGACCTCGCCCGGCCGCGCGCCAGCCATTGCGGGCTGGCCGCAGGGTGAGCCGCTGTGCTCCCGCACGACCACGCGCAGTACCATGTCAGTGCAGGTGTGTATTCCCTGCGCCTCGCTTGTTACGGGTAATGTTGTCTTATAGTCATGTTTGTGAAGTTACTTTCAAGGTCAGTGAACTGTGAGAACCAAATGGTAGGTTTATATCGTAACTTGATAACTTTTATTAAAGTAGCGACAGCCGTGCATGTTTCACAAGGGTTGTGCAGCAGTGATGGTGGTTTGACCAGTCAGCACTTGAGAAACAACACACAGAACACTGCAGCAGAACTGATCCGACCACAGATGCAAGGATGATTTCATTGAGCAAGCGCGCCTGGAGGCTTGTCTCACAGTAATTGTGCGTTTCTAGACCACTGTCGCCTCTTGTCGGTAGTAATTTGCTATGATGGAGGTCACTGTGCGACGCTCTTGGCATTTTGTGAGCGTCTTCAACACGAACGTAGTGATACTGGCACCACAGGCATGCGCACTCTACCCCGCGCACCGCCTTCTCTTCCTCGTAAGAACAAGGCGACTGCTGAGGCGTTACGACTTGCGCAACGCCTCCGAGCGGGCCCGACGAGAACGTTCTCAGCTGCTCGCGCTGGCTGAGAGCAGCCTGTGAGAGATGTGACGGCCCGTGACGGCCCGTGACGGTTCGGTGCATTCCGAGCGGGGCACGTGTGAAGGAGCCGGCGGGCGTGGGCTGGTGTGGCGCGTGCAGGAGTGGCCGGTGACGCCATGCCTGGCTGGATCAGCCGGGCTTGGCCGGCACGCACTGACCGGGCGGCTTCGGTTGGGCTCGACTGTTTCGGAACCCCCGGCCACGCTCAGCTCGGCTCAGCCGCACGCGTCAGGGTCGCCCCGGCACGCGCTCATCCCGACGCGACCGGGCTCGGCTGAGGTACGCTGCCTCTGTGCCGTGTGGCCCTGAGAATCGTTGCCTCTGTACCGTGTGGTTCTGAGATCCACTGCCTCTGTGCCGTGTGGCTCTGAGAAACGCTGTCTCTGTACCGTGTGGCTCTGAGAACCGCTGCCTCTGTATCGTGTGGCTCTGAGGTCCACTGCCTCTGTACCGTGTGGCCCTGAGAACCGCTGCCTCTGTGCCGTGTGGCCCTGAGGTCCACTGCCTCTGTGCCGTGTGGCTCTGAGAACCGCTGCCTCTGTACCGTGTGGCTCTGAGGTCCACTGCCTCTGTGCCGTGTGGCTCTGAGAATCGTTGCCTCTGTACCGTGTGGTTCTGAGATCCACTGCCTCTGTGCCGTGTGGCTCTGAGAAACGCTGTCTCTGTACCGTGTGGCTCTGAGAACCGCTGCCTCTGTACCGTGTGGCTCTGAGGTCCACTGCCTCTGTGCCGTGTGGCTCTGAGAACCGCTGCTTCTGTACCGTGTGGCTCTGAGGTCCACTGCCTCTGTGCCGTGTGGCTCTGAGAACCGCTGCCTCTGTACCGTCTGGCTCTGAGATCCACTGTCTCTGCACCGTGTGGCTCTGAGAACCGCTGCCTCTGTACCGTGTGGCTCTGAGGTCCACTGTCTCTGCACCGTGTGCCTCCTCTCAGCCCCTGCCCTGTCCCGCCCCGTCTCCACGTTGCCCGTCTCTGTCTGCTGTCGGTCCGCTCCCGTCTCCACGCTGTCCCTCTCCGTCTGCTCCCTGTCCGCTCCCGTCTCCACGCTGGCCGCCTCTGTCTGCTCTCGGTCCGCTCCCGTCTCCTCCCCGTCCGTTTTCGTCCCGGGCGACTGGACGAAGCAGCGGCGAGAGCCTCCATCTGGCGGGTGTGCGTGAGCGGTCGGCGGGGTGTCGGCGCAGCTGCGCGAGCCCAGTTTCCCCGTGCACGCACATGCGCGACAGGTGCCGCAGGGTGTGGCTCGCGCCGGTCTGCGCGCGGCTCGTGACAAGGAGGAGGGCCGACTGACCCAGTGCTCTGGCGGTGAGACCCGCGTGGACGGTAAATGTGGGCCGCTTTCTTGTGGTCTGCTGAACTGCACGTATTGTATTGGTCACCACGCAGAGGAGCCGTGACATGCGGGAGATCGTTCCTGACGGAGGGACCACGTCAAGGCTCGCTCTGTCCTGCTCCTCACTAATCTCTGCTCTCGTTTCCAGATCGGCGCCATGCGAACCGTCGCTGAGATTCCGCACATGCACATTTACCAGAACCCAGGTAAGCTGTTGCGGGGACTGGCTACTGGTTGAATGGCACAGCTTCTAGTTTTGGGAAACAATCGATCAACGTACTTTGTTTACTCTGGGTCTTCTTATCCGCTTCGGATGGCAGCACGGCTGAGATCGTCAGCCTTATCTGCTTCGGTCTGCAGTGCGACTGACATCGTCAGCCTTATCCGCTTCGGTCTGCAGTTGAGATCGCCAGCCTCCATGTCTGAGACATTGTGACATTGAGACATTTATGGTTTCCCTCTTACACAGAAGTCATCATTATCCCCAGCAGTAGCGTAATTTCCTATTCAGTTTGGGGGGGGGGGGTCAGTCCCCTCTCCCATCACTTGGGTTCAAGCCTTCCCTAACTTTAAGAAGAAAGTGGGCCAAATCCGGAGAGAAACCCTTTGCGAGCGTCACTTGCGGGTAGATTTCGGCATTTTTTACTATTCAGCGTTGGCTTTAACTTATATGGTGGAATTGCATCCCTGGTCATGGTTAACAGAAAAATATTGCGACACTAAGAGTTTTGCTGGTAAAGCCTTTTGGATAGTTAAGAAGAATCAAAAGTACGATCTTGGACATAATTTGGCCACTGATCAGATTTCGGCGTTATCAGCCCTAGAGACTGATAAATGATGATGGTCCGGGGCAGCATTCTCGCAGTGCTGCCAGCCAACACAACGCCATCTGACGTGACGTAATAATGGCGTCATTTCCTAACAACGCCAAATGGACGGCTTGTGGCTGCAGCTGCGGTGAGTGGCGGTCCTAGGCCCCGGGGCTCCCTCGCCGTCTGGTGCAAGCGCAGCGGTGGGGAGAGGGCGGACTGTGACGGGCCGGGGGGGGGGGGGGAGGGGGGAGCTCAAAAGGACTCAGCCTCCGCGCCGGTGCGAGTTGCGACGCACCGTCTGCTGACCTGCAGCCGATGCTCAGTCGCACCGTCTGCCGACCCTCAGCCCCACCGTCTGCCATCCCTCAGCCCACCGTCTGCCGTCCCTCAGCCCACCGTCTGCCGACCCTCAGCTCCACCGTCTGCCGACCCTCAGCCGCACCGCGTACCTCGCACTGCTCACGATAAGCGTGTTTTTATTTGCACCATGCGAGGCATTATGACTTGCATGCTGTAGAGGCTTGTACGGCCATAAATCAATTGCACCAATGAGGGGCATCCTAGTACCCGGCGGCCGACGTCAGCAAGATGTTTTGACCGGGAAGATCGTGTAATTTATTACCTCGTGGCTCTGCGTAGTCTAAGCAGAGCCTGCTGCCGGAGTTATCCATCGCAGAAGCTGTAACTCGTGGATAAGCATCGTATCATGGCAGAAGGCAACACAAAAAGAGACAGGCATGTCGGTTTGACATTTAGGACTTTGGGTGATAACGGTGCTGCCAACAGTATTATGAACCGTTACCGTTGAGCTTATGCCACTGGGAAGGGGATGTCAACCTTCGGGAATAAAATCAGATGTACACGCACCTTAAAATGTGAAATTGAAGTTTAAGTTTCGATTGCTTTTCCCTGATAGCTTAGACATGCCATTTGAAGTAGCTATGTTTGCAAGTTATGCCACCTGACTCATTTTTTAACACCGAAAAACTGTCTTTAAAATACTTCAAATGTTAGCCACAGTGGGCCGAAGAAGCTGTTCGTTCGGCTTGATAGCTAATTTTCTTCTGCCATGTGTGGCACGAGAGCTTAAGATGCACCGCTTCGACAACAATGTGCTCTTCAAAACATCCCAATTCGGCGAACCCTGTGCGGCTTAGGCTTTGGAGCGTCAGATCCGGCCAGTAGCCATTAGGCAGCCCCAGAGTAGCCAGTCCGCAGTGCCAGAGCCTCGCCGCCACCCACGCGACGAACCTGGTGGCTCGTTTAAACCGATTGGCTGGTCAAAGAGAGACATAAAATTTAATTCCAGGATGCTATTTCGCCGCCATCCTAGACGTTCAATAATCATTTTGCATGATGCAAATGGCAGCGCTGCTTACTTCTTTGGCCTGTTCCTTTGTACTTAAATTTTGTCCACAATGAATTATTTATTGCATGCTTGGGATGAATCAGATGCGCCCTTTAAGGTAACATGTTAGGCGGTAAACTAACCCATTCATTACACCACCACTGATATGATAACCTCTACATGTGGCATTTCACTTTTAAGTTCGTCCAATCGTTTTCTGAATGTTCGGATTGTTGCGTGGGTTATGTTGTCTCCCGGTCACATGGCTATAAGCTACATAATTACAATTTAAATTGGAATCCAAAGTCACGCAGGTGTAGTGATGTTGCTCATTTAATATCCAGCTCATTTCTAACGCAAGAAATATTAACACGGCTAGCAGCGACTCTCTTGGCGTAGTGTTCCGCTGGAAATGCGCTCCAGCTTCGCTGGGGGCTCGCTGCTACCGCTGCTGCCACTGCTGCCGCTGCTGCCGCTGCTGCCGCTGCTGCTGCTGCTGCCGCGCTGCGCCGCTGTCGTGGATGCTGATGTGGCGACCGTGGATGTTGATGTGGTGTCTGTGGATGCTGATGTGGTGTCCGTGGATGCTGATGTGGTGTCCGTGGATGCTGATGTGGTGCCGTGGATGCTGATGTGGTGCCCGTGGATGCTGATGTGGTGCCCGTGGATGCTGATGTGGTGCCCGTGGGTGCTGCTGAAGTGTTCGTGGATGTTGATGTGGTGTCCGTGGATGCTGCTGTGGTGTCCTTGGATGCTGATGTGATGTGGATGCTGATGTGCCGTCTGGACCAGCGGGCCGCGGCGTCGGGCGCTGGCACCGGAGGGGGGGGGGGGGGGGGGGTGCGGCGGAAGTCCAGGATAATGGCGTTCATTAGAATGCTATTGTTGCTGCCACGTTAAAAGACGAGCACCTACAAGGCGAACAGCATATCGATGACGTGCCTCCCTGATGGCGTGCAAATTGTTGAAATGCTAATTAACCGCAAAATCAATTAGGTGGAATGTTAACTAGCCGAATGTCAGTGCACTGAAGCGGGATTACGCGATGACAAATCGACGAATCGAAGATCACCCAACAGTCAATTAACAAAATGTCTTGTTGTCGAAAGGTGAGTTTGACGAAAGGCAATTCGACGAATGGAAAATCACCGAATAAACAATTAACTGAATACCTTTTGTCGTGATGAGAAGTTGACGAACGGCAATTAAGGCGAATACAAATCGTCGAATGATCGATTAGCCGTATTTATATTCTCGGAATGTGAACTGGGTGACTGAAGATTATCGTAAAGGGAGCATTTTACATTTATATGGGACTTGAAGAGAAATAGCTATCTTGAAGATCATTCGGTGCAGTTCACAGCCCTGCCCTTCTTATTGCCTACACTTCTCTATTTTCTGAGTTACACGTCCGCGAAGACGTGCAGACTTTTTCGAGGAGACTATTTCAAGGTCACCCAGGCGTCCATGACGCTATAATGACATCATTTAAATCCCGTCATTCCATTAGCCCTGCGGCGACCAAGACCGAGCAAAGTATAACTGCCAGTCGTTCACATCTGGCGTTCGTGTGCATAACTTCCAGATATAACTGCGGTCAACTGGCTCTCAATCCATGCTGTGAGGGGTATGATGACTTACTCAAACAGTGACGCATTGATAAGCATATTGTCTAAACAGATAAATTGTGTTATTTAAAGCAATCTTTTTACTTAAAAGTATACAAAAAGTTATCAGTGAACTTTTTTCAACATACCTGATGCTTGCTTTCATACCTTAAAATTTAGAACATACCTTTAAGAGATTACGCCACAGACCGTAACTCGCTGTCCATGAATAACTACGCTTCGCATTGATAGCATTATTGGTGGAGCGTAACCACTGCCGCTAAGGACAAGAGGTATGTCTGACAGCTGACTGGCAAGAGGATAGTCTGGTTTGGACTTATTTGCTTCTAGATATAGCTTAACGAGCCAGCGGAGCAATAGCCTTCACCCCTCTGACCTGATGTTACACTTACATGTTACATCCTTCTGCGTCCGCTGAAGCCCGACCGACAGAGATTATCATGGGCTATTCGACGTCGCTTTTTGAACTGTCATAGCATGCTTAGTTCTCCCGAAACAAGAGGGTGGATCTGGTTTAACCTGTCAAAAGTCACATTCGCCACTGTTCAGCCACACCTACCTGATACAGCTTTCTGAGAGCTTGCCACGGCCGTTTTCCCGTGGCTTGGCAACCTCTCTTGCTCAAGCTCCCCTTAAGATCTCAAAGCTTGTTTGCTTTGAGATCTTAAGGAGAACTGCTGAGGCCGCCTCGTTGGGGGACTGTGAAAAAAGGCCTGTAGTGGATGGCTGCGTCTGCAGCCATCAACATGTGGACGCATAAGCATTTAACTAAACAACACTCAGCCAATAAGCATCGGTAAGAGAGCATTTCGGTAACTTAGCATTCGGTCAAACCACATTTCGGTAGTGATCATTCGACTACAGAGCGTTTCGACTGATTACCATCGGACTAAAGAATGTTTTGGCTGATTAGCATCGGATTAAATAATATTTTGATTTATTAGCGTTAAACTTGCGAGCATTTTGCCAAAGCAGCATTCGACTAGAGGACTTGGACAATAAGCATTTCACTGACGAGCATCCCACAAAGTGGCGTTCGACTAAAGAGCATTCCAGAAAATTGGCATTCGGTAAATATGCGTTTCGGCTTATCGACAGTCAGTTAAAAGCATTCGGCGAGAGGACATTCGGCTGAACAGATTTCGATTGTTTGCCCTAGTAACGCGGCGGTGGCGGCTGGCTGGTGCGCTCGGCCCGGCGGCGCGGGCTGCGCGCTCGGCTGAGAGTGGGCGGGCGCTCAGGTCCTGATAGGTCCGGACTCCGAGGGTCGTGAGATCACCGGGCGCCGACCGGGTTATCTGCCCCGCAGCTTCCGCTGGGGAGCGGGGCTGAAGGCGCAGCTGTATGTCATCGCCCTGATGCAGGGGCTGCGGGGTTGAGAAAGGACACCACATGGACAAAGAAGATGAAATATTCAA